TGGAGTAGGTCTCGATCTGAAGCACACGATGCATCCGTGGAGGACCTTCTTCACGGATGACTTCGCCGATATGATCCAAAATGATTCTTGTAATCTTGATACCAGTGCTTGTACTCCTGAATGTAATGACCGATAATGAGCATCGCGGATAATTAGCGTAGTAACGTGATGTCTACACGGTAAAATAATTGGGTGTCGGCGCGAATAAGGAATCTGGGCATTTCGCAACCGCCCTCCCACTCGAAGAAGTCCGTCGCCATCTAGGAATGGACACAGTGTGAGCAGCGAGCTATCGTGATTAACTCGCTCCTTAGAACGTAAATCTTGTATTTCTCGACTAAATCCTTCCAGCTGTACTCGTCGGAGGATAGTGGCCATTGCCTGATCGAGCTCGCTCACCGTCAGCGGACCGTTATGCCGTTCGTTCGCAAACTTGTGATTGTTTCTCCACCGCAAACAATATGCGATGACTCGTTTAAGCCTTGATAAAGATGAGTACCGCTCCAAAACCCGGCTTGCCTCAATGGTTTGAGTGGCTAACACCGTGCATCGTTTGGTTTCGAGATCCGTACCTGCGGGCGTTGGAATAGGCTGCTGGAGATATTCTTCGGGATGCACTAACCACTCGGGCCCGTGCCACCAAAGATGTAAGTCCTTTAGCTGCTTGGGGCTGATTCCCCGCGAAATTACATCTGCCGGGTTGTGTTCTGACTTGACATAATGCCATTGTTCTTGATCCGTCATCTGCTGAATTTCAGTCAGTCGATTAGCTACGAAAGTTTTTCGAAGGTGAGGCTCTCCACGGATCCATGCCAGTACGATTGTAGAGTCACACCAATAATATCTGTTCGTTAATGGTATGGTAAGCGCTTGTGACACCGATTTCGCTAAGTTCGACAGCAACAAAGCTCCACATAATTCCAGGCGTGGGATGCAGATAGTCTTGAGTGGGGCCACCTTTGATTTTGCACAAATCAAGCGGATGGTGACGACACCCTCTCTGTTGATTGATCGCAGATAAACACAAGCGCCATAAGCGCCTTCCGATGCATCTGAAAACCCATGCAACTCTACGAGTTCAGGGTTAGAACAAATGATCACTCGAGGGACGACGATGTCATTGAGGGATCCCAATTCTGCGACGTATGCAATCCATTTATGATGTAGATCCTGAGGCAATGATTCGTCCCAATCTAGGTTGAGTTGCCACAGCCGTTGTAGAAGTAACTTAGCCTTGACCGTGGCCGGTCCGACCAACCCCAACGGATCGAATATTTGCGCTATGACGGATAGCACTGTACGCTTCGTCACCTTGGAGCTGAGACGGGGCATGATAACTTGATATTGTAAACTGTCGCGATCAGGTTTCCAAAGCAGGCCAAGAGTTTTGACCTCTTCTTCACTGGGACTGATTCTTACCGCGTCTTCGATGTCATGCTTAAATAACGTTGGCTCGTTGGACCTCCATTTTGCCAATTCGAAACCGCCAGATTTCAATACCGACGTGATTTCGTCCTTGAGTACTCGAAGTTGATCT